GGCGCTAGCGCTCGGGCTGTAGCAAACTCCCTCGCAAGAGCTGTTTGTTGACCACATGCACGTTCAGAGCCCTGAAGCTAAAAGCACTTTACACCATAAAATAAAAGCACTGTCTTTTTTTCTAAAAGGTTACGTCTGGAGGCCACGCTGCTCATACTTCATACAGAAAACTACTGAAAGGGCTATGAAATCCTCTATGATTTACACTCCCTCTCAGTGCATTAGGATATAGATCTACTCGACTCTAAAAATACTGTGGAGTTTCTAACCGACGTGAATATATGTGCATTATTTCAGAAAGTCTGTTAGAAAACTTGTCAACACATTATAAAGCATAAACCAGGACTTGGCCATTAAATACAGAGATCAGAGACAGAATATATACTGCAGGAAGTACTGAGAAAAGTCCCTCTATTCAAAAAAGGTCTATTAGCTAAAAGTTTACACACAATATACACCAAAGGGTTTAGAGAGAGCCCATGGACCGTAATTACAAGGCATAAATGGAATCAGTAAGGGCTTTACAGTCCCAAACGCAGTTAACTGGGCTGCCAGAAAATAATTTTAATATTGTCATAATTTATTACCCACCAAAAGCCACATCAAGGATTGTAAATATAGTTACTCTGTGTCCACTACTGCTCGTTAAGCAGCCTTGTTCCCTTCTCCTAAAAATAAAATAAAAACCTACCTCGATTATTAATCTGTGGTTAGAGCATGTTAAAAATGTCTTCTGACTCCTTTTCTTTCTTGAGGTTTGTTATCTCCCTCCAATCACATGACAATGCAAAGTGCTGAGGGGGGGCGCAGGGGGAGCACGGCACTATTGTGATCAAATGCCAATATTAATAATTATCCAGACAGGATGAAATACTGTTTTAAGGGAGCGAGTTTCCATTTAATTCGAGGCTTTTTATGATGCTGGAATTAAGGGCATACTAATGGTAGAAACATTCTCGCTGCCATTCACGAAAGCATCTGTGAAATTAGCTTTTGAATGTATGTTTTAAGATGCGGTCTAGGAGGTCACCTCTGGAATCTCAAATATAGTGCAATAATAAAACAGATTTACTTGTAACTAAGTGCTTAATTTGCTATGATTTTTTAAAGAAAATCAATAAAATGTTGCCTGTTATTTACTGGAAATAACCACAGATAGGTGTTCTGATGTATGTTGGCTTTAGAGAGCGCACAACTGTAATGAATTGTAATTCAGAGGACTGTTAAATGTGAACCACAGAACCTTTCAGAGGTAATAAAGTCATTACTTTTTACATTGCAGCCACCTTGAAAAGCTTTATATGCGCTATTATACATAAATCAAATCATATCAAAAAAATATGTATCTACCGTACACACACACGCCTGTTTATACACGTTTTGCACGGGAACGTATGTATGCACAGATACGACAGCCAACCCTGAAACGCAGCGTGAGACCAAAAGACTGGAGCAGCTGCCTATCGTCACCTGAAAC